CTCCGCAGGGAGCAACTGCAGCCAGCCCTGCTCCGGCGGCCGGCGCGGAGCTCGCCCCGCTCGCCCCTGCCTCCTGCTCCTGCTCCTGCTCCTCTTCCTCCTGCTGCTGCTGCCCTGAGGCCCCGGGCGTGCACGGGGAGCACGCGGGTGTGCACGCACACGAGCGTGCAGGTGTGCAGGGGTGTACACACGCGGGGGTGCGGGGAGCACATGGGTGTACACACATGGGAGCGTGCAGGTGTGCAGGGGTGTACACACACGGGGGTGCGCAGGGGTGCGGGGAGCACATGGGTGTGCACACACGGGTGTGCAGGGAGCACATGAAAGTGCACACACAGGAGGACATGGGTGTGCAGGGGTGTGCACACATGGGAGCACATGGGTGTGCACACATGGGAGCGTGCAGGTGTGCAGGGGTGTACACACACACAGGGGTGCGCAGGGGTGCGGGGAGCACATGGGTGTGCACACACAGGAGGACATGSGTGTGCAGGGAGCACAYGGGTGTGCACACATGGGAGCGTGCAGGTGTGCAGGGGTGTACACACACACAGGRGTGCGYGGGTGTGCAGGGAGCACATGGGTGTACACACACAGGAGGACATGSGTGTGCARGGGTGTGCACACATGGGAGCACATGGGTGTGCAGGAAGCGCACGGGTGTGCACATGCAGGAGCACGCRGCTGTGCATGTCTTCGTGTGTGCCCGGGCACGCGTGTGTGCCTGCAGGAGCTGGGTGCGGGTGTGCGCAGGGCTGTGTGTGCATGTGGGCTGTGAACAAGCGCAGAGGCAGGGGTGTGCAAGAGGCGCGTGTGCTTGTGTGCTGCTGTGTGCGTGTGTGAAAGCGTGTGCAGGCCTTTGTGCGCGCAGGACACAGGCGTGCACGTGTACACGCACACGAGTGCACGTGGCCGTGAGCACACGTGTGTTCGAGCAGGAGAGCACGTGCATTTCCATGCATGCAGCAGGGAGGAAGCGTGCAAGCRAGCCTGTGTGCCAGTGTGCGCGTGGGAGGAGAGCGCACGTGCATTGCGGTGTCCCTGGGTCCCCACTGCTCCCCCCTTGGTGGCACCATCCTCCTGGGTGAGGCCCCCGCTCTGGGGCCAGATGGGACCCTGGAGCAGAGGGGACCCTGTGCTCGGTGTCACCTTGGGCTGGATGGGACCAGTTGGGACACAGAGGGGTCCCAGGTTGGGAATCAACCTATCCCAGATGGGACCGCAGACTGGAGGCCACCTTGGCCACCCAGCTGTGCTGCCATCGTGGGTGCATAGCCCTGTCCGGTGCTGTCCCTGTCCGTCGGTGGCCGTCAGGAAAGTGCCCGCTCGGCATTTTCCCACTCGCCGTCAGCACTTCGGTGCGGTGGCGCCCAGACCTTTCCAGGCCTTTGTGGCCGGTGACAATGACAGCGGTGGCGCCTTTAGCCCGCAGGCGCCCAGGCCGCTCACTCTCCCCACGGACAGACACACGGACGGGACTCGCCGAGGCGCCCACCGGGGCCACTGTGCGTGGAAGGTGGGTGCACGGGACCCTGGGCTGGGTGTCAYCCTGCCCTGTGCCACCCTCCTGGCACCCCATGGTGTCACACGGATRCTCCATGGTGATCCTAGAAGGTCCCATCCCTGGGTGCATCTGAGAGTCCCGGAGATACCACCCTGTGTGCCCTGATACCCCCTGGAGATGCCACCACCCCCTCGTGCCCCTCGAGATGTCACCCTGGGTGGCCCCCTAATGTCCCCAGAGATGCCACCTCATGACCCTCTGATCCCCAGAGGTGCCACCACAGGTACCCACAGTGTCCTACGGAGATGCCATCCCAGGTACTATGGGGTTCCCAGTGATGCCACCCTGTGTCCCTCAGCATCCCCAGAGCTGCCACCCTGTGTCCTCTCACATCCCCAGGCCCCCCCCATGAGGGAAGCCACCCAAATGGGTGCCAACATCAGGGGTYCTCAAGGGGGGGGTCACCACTGTACCCCAGCACCCACAGGGATGTCTGTGTGTGTCTGTGTGTCCCCCCCCCCATCSCTGTGTCCCCAATCCATGGGCATCCCTTGGGATTACCAGGGTGAGGGGGGTGTCCATGGGGGCTGGGGGAGGCAGCGGCACCCAGAGGTGCCACTGCCCCYCCCCGCTGTGCCCAGGGCGGCGATGGCGGGACGGGGGGGGCTGCTGTGCGCGGCCTCCGGGTTGGCGCTGCTGGTGGCTGCCACTGCCACCGACTTCTGGCTGCAGTACCGGGCAGCGGGCGGCCCCGGCTGCCAGGGCCTGTGGCGCGTCTGCCTGGGGGGCGAGTGCCGCCCCCACGCCGGCACCCCGGGTAGGCGCCCGCGCCGGGCACTGCTGCACTGAGCTGTGTGCGGGCTCTGTGCCATGGGCACTGCTGCATTGAGCTGTGTGCAGGCTGTGCACATTGGGCACTGCTGCACTGAGCTGTGTGCGGGCTCTGTGCCATGGGCACTGCTGCGTTGAGCTGTGCATGGGGGCACTGCTGCAATGAGCTGTGTGCGGGCTCTGTGCAATGGGCATTGCTGCACCGAGCTGTGCATGGGGGCACTGCTGCACTGAGCTGTGTGTGGGCTCTGCATGGGGGCACTGCTGCACTGAGCTGTGTGTGTGCTCTGTGCAATGGGCACTGCTGCACCGAGCTGTGCATGGGGGCACTGCTGCAATGAGCTGTGTGTGTGCTCTGTGCAATG